AAGTTCAAACTGAGGAACATGAAAACAAGTCCACAAGAGCCCAAATATGACCTTGACTTTATCTCACTTGAATTTAAATATGATCTCATGAACAGATTTGATGTACTGAACGTGAAAGACTGAACATCCTTAATATCACACACAAGTAACATCTTACTGAAGATTATAAACAAAACACAACAAAACAGCAGAAGCAGTACATCCACAGAGCACTTCCAGAAATCTAAACTGGACTCAGAAGAGGTCCTGGAATGAAGGATATCATTGATGATTTGGGTGGATGTGATATTGGTGGGTACTGGCTGAAAGAGAAAATATCAGAAAGATGTCTACTTACATTTTATTGACTACATAAAGATTTTCAACTGTGAGGATTATAATAAATTATACGTAATATTTAAGAGTGGGAATTTCACAGACTTAACGGCACTCATGCGAAACCTGTACGTAGACTGAAGAACAGTTGTTAGAATAAAGCAAGGGAATACAGCAGGGTCTGAAATCAGGAAAAAGTGTGTGTCAGGCCTTTATAATTTCTCCAGATTTATTCATTCCGTATGTTGTGCAAAAAGTTGGACCATATGAAGAATTTGACATCAGAACTGGAGGAAGACTCATCACCAATCTACATTACGAAGATGACACCAGCATTGCTTGTGGAAAATGATGAGGACTTAAAGAACTTACTTAAGATCCGAGACTACAGTTTTGATTACACCCCAACATACAGGGAACCAAAATCTTCAAAACTGGACCAACAGGTAGCACAGTCATAAATGGAGAAAAGACTGATATCAATGATTTCAGTTTAGTTGGTTCCACAATCAAGACCAATGGAAACAGCCGCTAAAAAATCAAATAGCTGAGTTCAGTGGGCAGGGTGTGTGTGTGTGTGTGTGTGTGTGCGTGTGTGTGTGTGTGTGTGTGTTGGAATGGGAAAGAGTCGGAAAGAGTCAGTTTGGACTTCAAAAGACAGGGTAATAGAAGCCATAGATCTTTGGTGATTGATTTTATAAAACACAATGTATATAAATGATTGCATGAAACACAATGTGAATGAAGGAATGTATGAAGCACAACACACATGAATAAAACAACATATGTGAATGAATCTCGTATGCAAACCAATTAAAAAAAGAAGGCGTGTTGCATTGGGAAAATCTGCTGCCAAGGCCCTCTTTAAAGTTCTAAAGAACAAAGATCTAAGTTTAAAGAATAAAGCGTGCCTGATAGAGAGCCTGGTGTTTTCAGTTCTTTTCAAAGCATCTGAAAGTTGGGCAGTGATTAAAGAAGAGCGAAGCAGGACTGGTCTTGGAATTGCGGTGCCGGTAAAGAGCCGTGAGCACGCCGTGCTTTGCCAAGGGAAGAAAGGAAGCAGACGTGCTCTTCGGAGTCTAGGATGAAGAGAATTCATGGCACTTTGGCCATACTGTCAGGAGGGACTGGGCGCTGGAAAAGGACATTATGCTTGAAAAAGTGGAGGGTCGTTGGGTTGTTGAAGGAGAGGAAAACCTTCAACAAGACAGACAGACACACGGGCTGGCAGCCTGCACTTGAGCACAGTGGAAATTTTAAGGACGACACAGGAAAGGCAAAGGAGATGCCGTGTTGTACTCAGGGCTGCCATGAGTTGGAGCAGATCTGAAGGCACTTAACAACAACAGCATTTCACGTTATTGGGCGCCTGGAGGGTACAGCACAAAGCATATTGGGCTGTGAACCAAGCAAAGTTAGCCGTTCAGGTCTCTTGTTGAGATAAAGACAGAAAGTCTCCTTGGGAGACTTTCTATGAGTTGGGACAAACTAGATGCTAGTTTTTGTTGCATGCCATTGAGTTGGTGCTGACTCATAGTGGACCCTCCAGTGATTTTTACAGGCAGTTAATCACAAGGGGGGGGGGGCGGAGAGACTGCCTGTCTTCCTCCCACAGAGCAACTGGTAGATTCAAACTGCATTCCTTTGGGTTGGCAGTGCAACTCGTTACTGATAAACCCGGTTATCTTATTTCAGATTTGCTCTATACTCCTGTCTACTGCCTTCTGAGAGGGAGCTCTGGTATCGCTCCCAGCGAGCACCCAGGGAGCTGTTTTAATCAGTGGAAATCACCTTTTATTGTCACGGCTTATAGAAGGGTAAGAGGATTAGTTGAGACTGTAAAAAAGAACTTAGTTTATATTTTTCCATCACAGAATGAGAAGATATTAATAAGTAACATTTGATGGCAGGACAAACGGCTTGAAGAGAAAAAAAAATGATGTCTAAGCATGCATTCTTAATATAATAGACACTAGTTACATGGGTCTATCGAAATGAAATTTAAAATTCAGTTCCCCGAGTGTACTGACCTTCATCCATGCCCTCCACAGGCACTTGGTGCGGGGAGCAGTACAAGACCGGACAAGATGACAATTGTTTATCATTTCTGAAAGCTCGCTTGGGTGGCACTCATCTCCAGATCAGTTTTTTCCCCTTACTTACTTCAGACATTACATTTTCTCCCAATTAGTCAGACACATTTGATATACGGCAAACATTCACTCTCTTGCTTTGACAGCACTGAGTGCAGAGATCATGTGTAGCACTGTCTATCTCATCTGCATCCTCCCGCCTCCCTGAAAACCAGGTGGACTTTTTACCTTGTTGCCCAATTAACCTTTTATCAACTGTGTGCTAGCAAGCAATTCAGGGACAACCATCAGGAAACTTCTCACCAGAGGCAACTTCCACTGACGGATCACGCTGGTGGCGTCTGACAGAGGTGGTTCTGGGCTTTCACAAGTATGGGCTCACTTGTTGTGTGGCAAGCTGGTGGGCTGGGCTCCTTGGAGGGACAGCCTGCACTGCTCGATACCCCCCTGTGGCTTAGCTCTTGCCCTCTTTCTGGATATTTTTCTTACTCTCTTTTCCCTTCCCTGTGCTTGTGTTGTTATTGTTGAGGGCAGTAGAGCTGGAACCAACTCACAGCTGACCCTCCAGCGACCTTTCAGAAGCAGTAAACTGCTCCAAAGAAGCAGCCGGTGGATTCTAACTGTGTTCCTTTGGGTTGGCAGTGCAATTCCTTACCATTGAGCCACCAGAGCTCCCTTGTGTCTGTGAGTTGTCTGTGTCTATGTGTATCTGTGGTTATTCTGGATGGTGATGGAGAGCAGAGAACACGCTGGTAAGAGGTTACTTTGCTAGACAGCATTCTTTGTGGTTGTCTTCCACTCCAGAGGCTGCTATCACAGAATCGGAAGAGTGCAAAAGACAATCAAATAAAGAAGCCAGAAAGCATCTATAATGCCATCATTGAGTATTTTTGTGTGTTTGGCTGCTAACTGAAAGGTCGGCAATTCAAACACCCCCGCTGCTTTGTGGGAGGAAGATGAGGCAGACAGCTTCTGTGAAGACTGGGAACCACAGAGGGCAGTTCTATAGAGTGTCTACTCTATGAAAGTGACTTGTCTGTTTCTTTTCTCCATGTCATGTACATTCACATCACAACAGACATCTGAAAACTGCCACTTTTCTCAACTTTTTAAACTTAACGTCACATTATAAAACTTCATATACCATTAATAATTTTCTAAAGCATCACTTTAAAATACAAAGGTGCAAGAATTTAGTTTACTATTTCTTTCCTACAGAGAGTAAACTTACTTAAAGTTATAATTATTATAATAAGACTATGTATATATGTATGTATGTATCTACCTACCTACCTATCACAACAACAGTCCATTCATCCATCCTCACATTTTTTGTTTTTCTATGCAACATAAGGAAAATGGCAAAAACAATGATAAGGTACTTGATACATTTCCAAGGCAATAATTTATATTCGCATATGAAAGAGTTATGCTCAAACTCACCTTATCAAAAATGTTAGCCTAAAAGTGTTATGACTAACTTGCTAGACAAAATGAACCATTATTGTAATTTAACTTTATACCCTTAACTTATGAATGAGTTACCACCATCTATTTTGTTTGTCTATTTTATCAAACTTGGGTGGCTTCTCTTTTGCTGTGTACAGCCTTCCAATTGTTTCATGAATCCCGGATTTGGGTTCTGGAATCAAGCCTTATGGAAACAAGTGATGCCTCTTCTCATCATGCAAGTCCCGCCTGTATGCCATCCATACCCTCTCTCCACCTACTGTAAGCGCCCACTGCTCTTGGCTGCTGGCTCTCCTTCCTTATGGCCCTGATATCAAGTGCTACCCATTGTTGTTATTGTTGTTGTTATGAGCCATTGCGTCGCTTGCGACTCATAGCGACCCTATGTACAACAGCCCTAAACCCTGCTTCATCTGACATACTGTGGACATGTTGTAAGGAGGGAGACATCCTTGGAGAGGGACATCATGCTTGGGAAAGTGGAAGGATGGTGCAGAAGGGGAAGACCCTCTATGAGGTGGATTGATTCAGTGACTGGGGTAATCAGGATGGGTGTGTCAGAGGCAGTGCGATTGGCACAGGATAGAGCTACCCATTAGCAAGTGCAATTTGTCTGCTAACATCTCTCAAATGTTACATACACTTAAAACTTTATAGATCATACCTTCAGTCAAATTTATTTCAAGCAATAAACAGGAAATTGTGGTGTGGACTTAGGAGTAGGGGACCTCAGATCTTGCCTTGCCAGCATTATTTGCCCATGAGGCCAACACTAAGCCTACAGACACAGTGGTCATCCCAACCAGGTGTGGTAGCCACTTGAATCAACTTTGGCGTTAAAACTAGTGGTAAGAGGACATGACTGTGAACTAGTGATCAGCATTGAAGATCCACTTGTCTTTAAGTGGTAAGAGATGCAAGCACTGCCGCTATTCCACATAAAAGAGCAGAAATGTTAGCATGCTTATTTTGCTCACAGCTTTTCTTAAAATTGGGTATTTTCTTGCATTTCTTTTAGAAATAACTTCTAAAGTAGCTATTAGTATATGTGAGCGATTTCTAACTTCTTAAGGGAAAAGGATTTTAAATTTTATTTCAAAAGGTGAACACATGATACGTTACCTTTGAAACGAGCAGGGAAATGATTTCTTTCACTGTGTTGTCAATCAAGTCGTCTATTTTTGAATGGTACTGTTGCTAGGGAGCAAAGGACAAGGATGTATTAGTTGATGTGCACACAAACCTTTTGTCCTTAACCATAAATGTGTTACTGTTACTGGTTATGACAAATATCAGAATTACTTAAAATGATCATTGTCAAGACGAGAAAAGCAAAACCTTGAAAGTGATCCACCCAATCAGCACTCCTTACATTGCGGCTTGAACATGTCCCCATGTGCGCTGCTGAGTTAAGCAGCTAATGGGTTATTGTTGAGATGAATTGAGTTCTTATTCTCATTCAGGCAGAGGAATGTGAAGGATACTTTTTGTCTCCTCCTCTATAATTAAGGTGGCCATGTATTTTTCTAAAGGGTTGGTTTCACTGGAGAAGCAAAAAGACTAGAAAGAGATTTAATTAATACAACAGTTCATGTCTGACAACTCTCATTCATAAGTTATTTAAAATGGGCTTTAGAAATAAAATGAGCTCCCAATTGTTCATTCCACAAGGACCTTTTTGCCGGCACTGGGAGCAGCAGTTTATACAATTCTTACAATATGCTCAAACAAGGGCAAAATTAAAATTTCATCAACAAAGGTGAATAGATAGTAACAAATTAATAGGCCATAAAAGGTATAATGAAACGGCACTCACGCCATAGTTTTATCCTGCTTCCTTATGAAAAAGATGCCTTTAAAGAAATATAGATATATTAAAAAGGTGTATTTAAAATAAACCCGAAAGACTTTTGTGGTGTTTTCTTTATTCTTCTTTCTTTAGAGAATATTAGAGCATTCCATTCTTAAATTAGCAGGAGCTCGGGCTTCTGCACTGTGTGGAAACTTATCCATTTAAACAGGGATTCTTCCTTTAGAAGCATTTATCTGACTGCAGATTGTCCCCAATAGCACTTCACAGAAAATGTGACTTGTAAAGACTAACCCTATCTTGATGGTTCAAGGCTTCCTAGAACAGCTAACATAATGCTTGGAGGGAAAGTACTCAGGTCAGTATAAACATTAGACCAACTTAACAGCTGCTGGTTGAATGGGTTCCTAAGATGCAAGTTTTTGAAAGCTCTTTTTTTCTTTCCCTTCTGAAAAACATGTCTCAAAGTTTCCACACAGAACAAAACATCTTGGGGCTGCTGTGGAACCAACAGGAGTGATCCCCCACCCTCACCCCAGACTTTGACGGTGGTGAGTGGCTATCATACACCTGCAAACATCATAATAAAGCAAGCGAAGCAGCATTTTGGAGCAAATGAAGTTGTTTCCTTTTTGTCTCTGAGCTGGTGTGGGGAATGGCCAGTGGTCTACAATAACATATGAATAACATACATGAAATGTGGACTTTTCTGGACACCTATCTCTCACCTTAAGCCTTGTTGTTGTTGTTGTTATGTGCCATCGAGTTGCTTGCGACTCATAGTGACACTATGTACAAGAGCCCTAAACGCCGTTCTATCCTGTGTCAACCTCGCTGTCTCAAACACACTCATTCCCACCACTCCACTCACAGAATTGATCCATCTCATTGAGGGTCTTCCTCTCCTGCACCTTCCCTCCATTGTCCCAAACATGATGTCCCTCTTCAAGGACCTGTCCCTCCTTGCAACATGCCCAAAGTATGTTAGATGAAGCTTCAGAATCCTTGACTCCAAGGAGCACTCCAGCTTCACCCTCTCCAGGACAAACCTGTTTGTTCTCTTAACATCCATGGTATATTCAACACTCTTCTCCAGCACCACAGCTCAAAGGCAACAATTCTTTCTATCATCCCTATTTACTGTCCAACTCTCCGATGCATAGCACGTAATTGTGAAGACTATAGCCTGGATCAGGTGCACCTTAGTCTCCAGCCTGAAGTCGTTGCTCTTCAGTACTCTTGAGAGGTTCCTCACATCTGACTTCCCCAATGCAATTTGTCTCCTGATTTCCTGGCTGCTGTTACCAAGAGTGTTGACTGTGGAACCAAGTAAACAAAAACTGTTATCTGTCTCAATCTCTTCACCATCCATATTGATGGTGCCAATTGGTCCAGTGGTGAGAATCTTTGTTTTTTTGATGTTGAGCTTCAATTCACATTGAAGGCTGCAGTCCTTGACATTCTGCAGCAAATGTGTCAGGTCCTCCTCAGTTTCAGCAAGCAGGGTTGTGTCATCTACATAAGCCTTACCAACTCCCAAACTGGTCCCCCCATCTCCCCCAGGGACAAATGATATGGACACACAGAGGTGCGTTTCTCGTGCTACAGTGACAGATGCTCTTGCAGTAATGTGCAGAAATGGAAAAGTGGGGATAAAACGGACCCAGGAGGGAAGGAACGTGAACTTGCTGGCTGCCAGCTGAGGTTCTGATCCCTCTCGCCGTCCAGTGACCCCCAAATGTGGAGTCACTTTCTGAGCCAGGCAAAATCCCCAACAGAAACATGACTGCAGGGCCACCCAATAATTTGGGGTCTAGGCCACTCTTCTGGGCAAAGACTCCCCCAGATGAATTCTGGAAACCTTGAAAAGTCCTGGGCTCCTGGCTGGAAGCAGCGCTGCTCTCTGGGTGGTTCAGGGGCTTATGCAAATGAAGCAGTGGTGGCCTTCAAGCCTGCAAGCTCTTTTCATACCCCTCTCACTCCAGACTCAAACCAGACTGAGGCTGCTCTTCAGGAAGGGTTACTGGGAGTGAGGGTTCAAACTTCTCACCTCCTTACGCTGAAAGGTACCCAAGACCTACGGTGGCTCAGGCCCCCAGACCTCCACATTCTTAACTGTACTTCACTTTAATATTTATCTCCATTTGTCTTCTATCTCAAGACAAGAAGGATACAGATATTGTAATTAGTAGGCTACAGGAGAGAAAACAATTCTGAGTCCTATACAGCAAATGTCTAAGGTTGGAGTCAGGCAATTTTAAAAATCAACTGACAAGCTTGCAAAGAGGTACTTTAGAAGACTTTGAAAGAAAGGCAGAGAAAGTCAGTGAACCTAGAAACTGTCAAACTCTCCTGTAAGACACAATCCGAGGACCACTGTCCTCGTTAACAAAGAATCTGCAACAGAGGAAGGAAGGAAGGCGAGAATCTGAAGGAGAGAAGGAACAGGTCCAGGCAAATACCAAAAGGTCTAAAAAGGAAGAAACAAAGAAGGGTGTATCACCCAAGGAGAAACCAAACACTAGGATCATCACTGGGTTTTTAGAAAAGGGGATTTTGTTATTGAAAATGTATCTGTTTAGCGCTGACTCACACTATCATTAAAATTCCCTAGAAAGTCCAGACTTGGCTCTGGCCGCACAACACACAGAGCTGGCCTGGGAGAACTGTGGGTGAGAGTGGCAGGCGCCCTGAGGAGTTAGATTGTTTATGGGAGCTCCGGTGGCCTGGTGGTAAGGAACTGTGCTGTCAACTCAAAGGGGTGTGGTTCAAAACCACCAGTCCTCCATGGGAGAAAGGGGGGCAATCTCCTACAACGTGATTAACTGTCTCTGAAAACCTGATGGTGGATCAGCTATGAGTTGTTTCCAACTGCATGGTACACAACAACAACAACATTCTGTAAAGAGAATAATATCTATCTATCTATCTATCTATCTATCTATCTATCTATCTATCTAATCTCAAAGTTAGGTGGGGAAAATTTATTGATTAGGGGATCCATATAAGTTTCAACAAACATTTAATGTATAAAATTAGATTAAAAGAACTCCCTCCCCCAAAAAAAACCTCCAAGATAATAACTCCCCCCCAGAAAAATCTAATAAGGAACATATGTCCATAGCTATTTGCATTAGGCCAAAGCCAGGAATCTCACCGTTAGAAGGACCACAGAGAATGCGGCCGACACCTTTCTGTGCCAGAGATTCCTGTGTCAGTCAGACAGGGATCAATGTGAGAGCAACAGCTGCCGGCAACCAGACACCAATGTGGGACAGAGCTGTCTCGGATGCCCCATGGAGCCAGAGCCAGGAGTCTGTACCTGAGCTTGCTGGAGGGCTACCGGGAGATGCCATACAATAGGCAGACAGCAATCCTAAAGGCTTGTGGTTTTAATCCACCAGCTGTTCTACAGGAAAAGGACACTCTCCTCCTGGGAGACTTCTGCCTCTGAAAACCTGCAGGGGGAGTCAGCTATGGGTGAGTGCCAGCTTGACTGCACACAGCAAGAAGAGAGCTCGGGTGGCCTAGTGGGTAGGCAGTGGTGCTGCCAATACAAAAGTGAGTGGTTTGAATCTACCAGTGCTTTGTGGGAGAAAGACGGGCAATCTTCTGTGAGATTTACAGCCCCTGAAAACCTGCTGGAGGATAAGCAGGACTCGGCAATGCGTTAATGAGGGCAAGAAAAAGTCAACAGACTTTTCCACAACATTGATTAACAGCCTGCATTTGTTATTATTTTTTTTTTACTTTTTATAATTTTTTTTCTTTTTACACTTTAAAAAAAATTTTAAAAGAGAGTTTATTTCATGGAAGATGGATCTCACAAATCCTGTCCTCTCTCCTCCCACTCTTTATTTATTATACTAGTTTATTTCCAAAATTCAAATACATTGTTTTCCAGAACAGACTCTTCCAATTCCCCTCACTCCTCCGTTCATCAAACTGAACAGCCCCATGATTAATTTTCTGCTCCCCAGACATCTTCATCCCTCTGCTTCCCCCACCCCCTTGGATCCTTATACTAGTTCTACAGTAAGAGTTTTATACAATATTTGTCCTTGTGGGACTAAGTTCAATTCAGCATAATTCTGTCCAGTCAGTCGTTTCTTAATTTTGTTCCTGCCAGTAAAAAGCTATTCTTATCAGAATGGCTTCAGATTGGGTGAAAAATTGCATATACTAAGATGGGAGTAGGTTCTAGTTCATTCTTAGTCCAGTTTTTCCAGATCTTCCCTTTACCACGGACCCTGTGTACCTTGCTCCTAAGTCATATATTGAAGAGACTCAGCCTCACCTCAGAAAGTCAGGGGACTTAGGTCCCAGACACATGTCCGATGCCCTACCATACTGACTCACTGCCCCTGAAGAAATACCATCATGTCGTTTGATGGTTCTCAAGCTGAGGAATCCTGATGGTGTAGTGGGTTATGTGCTGAGCTGCTAACATGAAGGTCAGGGGAACGGGTCCCTCTGCTGCACTGTGGGGGAAAAAATGAGGCAGTCTGTTCCCATTAAGCTTTATAGCCTCAGAAACCAGATGGAGGGTTGCCAAGAGGGGACTTAATGCCAGTTATTGTTATGAACTGTCTAGTTAGAAGGGTGCACCAATGGTCTAGTGGCAAGAAGCTGAGCTTCAATCCCAAAGGCTTGTGGTTCGAATCCACTAGCTGTTTCAAAAGAGAAGGATGGGCCATCTCCTCCCATATGATTAACTGCCTCCCATCAGAGGGTCAGCTATTGGTTAGTTCTAACTCAATGGTATGCAACAGTAACAACAACGTAGCTGATTCTCCAGTGTGTGTTTTCAGAGGCTGTATTTCATATGTGAGGCAAATGTGCATCTTTCTCTTGAATTCAGCTAAAGGATTAAAATGGGGTGGGGGTGGGGTGTTGGGTTGTTAGTACAAGTCCTTAGCCGCTACGGCCTCCAGCGGATTTTGTTTTGGTTTTGGTTCCCAAATAAACACAAAAGAAATGAAGACTCAGAGAATACCAGTATAATCACATTCTGAAGAGATTTTTGGTCCTTCTCCTGGGACATATTATCAAGGTATTAGATTGTTAGTTCTGGAAACGGAGGTATTTTCCTTTAATTGAGAACAAATCCCACACAAGTGGGGGCCCCTGAGCTGCTCCATTAATGGGTTTACATCCTCAGTGGATGGAGACGGATAGAGTGGCTTTGCCTGCAGACAGATGAACACCGAGGGCCCAGACAGCCTCTTGCTTCTCGGCTTGTGGCGGCGAATGCAGATCCTAAACACGGTGGTTCTGTGATCTCAACCTCTGTCCCCAAGGGACTGGCCTGGGATTGCTGACTCATTACACACAGCTGTCACCGGAGCAGACTGTTCAGTCACTAATCACCTCATTAAACCCTGCTCTGGGCTGCAGCACGCTGGCAGGATCCAGTACCACAACTCACTATAGAATTCTAAGTCAGGAAGCCAGACGGCGCCGAGCTGCTGTGGGGACGGGACGCATAGAGGCTTTACCCCACTGATGGCAATGATGGCAACCACTTCAGTGCAGATTTCTAAAAAGTCATTTCTTTATCATTTAGAAGAAGAAAAAAAGTGCTAAGTTGAACTCTTCAGCATGTAATTCCCATGGTTCCAAAATGATCTGGTAACTCAGTTTTCAACAGATTTATTTCCTAGAGATTTGTTTTCTAGAAACGGGAGTGCACACATTCATATGTGTATAGTCGCTAATTTAAAACAATTCCAAAATTCACTCCTCCCATAGATAGAAAGGAAAAGGATAGGGAATTTCATGAAAATACTAGAGAGGGTAAAAAAAAAACACCCCCAAAATCGTATGCACTCCTTTTGCATTGCATTTCTTGTTTACCGCTTTTTTTCCAAGGTTGCTAATGGGTTTTACACCTGCACATTTTGAACTCTATTAATTGTGTGAAAGTTGTGAGGAACTAATTGCCTCTAGTGAGAAGGTACAGGTGCAGACATAATGAACAGTAGCAGATTACCCTTCAAAACCATCCGCCCATTAATGCAAAGAAATCATTTGAAAATGCAACAGTGTTTTGTCATTTGTGTGTGCGGCTGCTTCTCTTTGTAAGTCCTACAGTGAGCTGCTTCTTACCAGGGAAGATTTTTTTTTTTTAAAGCAGTGACAATGAATCATTCAGGCATTCATTCAAATATTTACCAAGTGTCTATTGTGTGTCAGGTACCAAAGTGTATATTAAAATGGAGAAACTCAGTGGAGAGAGGCGAGATGATTCTCTAAACCAGATGAAAAATGGAAGGGCTCTAAGATAGTATTCTTGAACAGACAAAACTCTGAAGAAATAAGCAGACACCTTTGGCAGTCGCAAAGGCAGCTGCCTACTCGGTCAGGTAATTAGAAATAATAAATCACATCTTAAGTGATCAGGGATTGGTAATTACTAAACATTCTACAGCACTTACATACCAGCTAGATGCTTGATATATTTTTACTGTTGTATGCTGTGCTATTAGGAATACACACATTTCCGTGAATTGCTCAAAGAAGAGGCACACATACATGAAAGCACATAAATAGAAACTGTGCTCAAATAGCGAACATTTGTGTATCAGATGAATAACTAGAGAACATTCACAACTGTCCACTTCTGGACACCTGAGCCCTTGTGCTTGGAGGAGAATGATCAGGTGAATAAAAAGCTGCCCTGGGTTTGTCTTTCTGGCATCAAATGAAAGAATTGTATGATTTAACATACTTACCTACAGAGTACAACACTATATATGACTTTAAGAAAAGAAAAAAAAATCTAATCTAATCTAATCTAATCTAATCTGCTAATTTGGCCTTCTTCCTCTGAGATTCTGGAGCAGTGCTTCTGAACTGTCTGGTATGGGGTAGGTTGAGGGTCATGATGCCCAGGAAGGGGCACATAAACCAATCACTAGAAGACTTGCATCTTAGGAACCCTGATGGCACAGTGGCTTAAGCATTGCCCGGCTAAGGGTAAGGTTGGTGGTTTGAACCCACCAGCGACAATTTTGAAGAAGGATGTATAACGAAGAGGTACAGTCTAGGACGGTCTAAGGGACAGCTCCACTCTGTCCCACGGGGTCGCTAAGAGTTAGAATCAAGGAGACAGCAGGCGAATTGGTTTTTGATATCTTTGGTGAGAAGTGACTTTGAGTGTGGCTTGCTGGTCTAAGTATTTAGGGGTATCATGATAGAAGTTACAGACCCTCTGAAGTCCCAAACGCTAACTTCCTCTGGTATTAATGAAGAATGCGCCCTGGTGATACAGTGGTTAAAACACTGGCTGCTAAGGCAAAGGTTGGTGGTTAGAAGCCACTACTCGTTCTCCAAGGAATAAAAAGGAGGCAGTCTTCTTTCATAAAGATGGACCATCTTGGAAACCCGACAGTGCGGCCCTACTTGGTCCTTCAGAGTTGCTGTGAGTTGGAATCCAGTTGTTGATAACAGGCGTGGTGGTTTCTAGACTAATGAAAGCAGAACATTCCACAGACACAGATACTTGAAAATGGGAATAATCAGTCTGTAGCTAAATTATTTAGATTTCAGTTTAATGTAAAGCATATCAATTTGGTTTTAACTGAAGTTCATCTTTAAAAAGTAAGCATAAAGGGTTTTCTTATGGTGTGAGGGAAACCTTTTGATGCTGGACACCAGTGTGGTTGTACAACGTTATGAATGTAATGTATATTGTGGTGATGTTGTCACGGAAATGGTCACTTTCAAATGGTTTACTTTGTTATGTGAATGTCACTCCAATAAATTGTTAACCAGAAATGTATGACTAGCTTGTAGATTCTACAGCTTAACAGATGTGTCTGAAAAATTAGCTTTTACACACACATACACAGAGCTCAAAACACCAGAAATGGAATAAATTATTCAATACTAATCTTACAAGATAAACACTAAAAACATAGTAATAAAAATAATTCAAAGATATGATAATGTGCTTTTACAGAAAAAAAAATAGAGAGAGAGACTTACCCACTGACTACCATACTGGATCATGCCATGGGGGGAGAAATACGATGAAAAACAACACACAAACATAAAGGAAGAACAAAGAAATGATGAAAAAACAATTATAATGGGGAGGGGGAAAGCAACAGGATGTCATCTTAAACAAATCATCTAACAGAAATACATCCATTCACCCAATCACCACGCTTAAGAAATGCAAAGTATTGAGTAAATGAAAATTGTGTTTCTAGAGACATACACAGACAAGCACATATATACATATGTGATATACATGTTACCTCATATGACATATATATGCACATATATAGCCTATGATATACAGATACGTGTCATATTAAAGCAATGAGATATTTCTCAAAAGGATAGCTAGGCTTTGTTTCTGAGTATTTCAGATCGGGGAGTATTTCTGATCTTTAAAAAGAAATGAAAAGGTTTGTGTAAATGATGTATTTTACATGCTATTTTTGTGATCAGCCTTCACGATGCAAACTTTGGTTATTGTAGATTTGTCTAAGCAAAGAAGGCAGCTTCCTAATTTGCATGCAAAAAAGCAAGTTTTTATGTAAATACACAACACCTAAGCTGTTAAAAGGTCTCTCCTAAAATTGCAGGGTCACCTGGAAATGTTTAGGTAGTCCTTAAGTGAAAAATAAGAAACCCACAGGCATAAACACATTTCATTAGTCTATGAACAAAAAGATCAAACACTTGTGTGGGAAAACTTGGTCTTAATCTTAATCTTCCAGTCGTGTGAGTGCCTTCTGAAAAGAGCCTTGGCTTTCACCCGGCACTGGGACTGAATTTCCTCACTGCACAGGCCACTTACCTCCTGCCCTCCATCCAGAGCACAGAGCTTGGTGCTTTGCTTTTTGGCATCAACTAACACGTTAAACATGGTGCACACTGAGGCAGGAATGCGCAAGTCAGTGGTTTTGCACGCCTTTTGCAGCTTGAGTTCAAATGCTGTTCTTGTTCTAATGATTAAAATATGAAGACAGAGTAAGACACTTTGACACGTATCCAACCTGATTTGTAAAACTGAAAACAACACTATACATGCTAATTTAAGACATGAAAATGAGGAGTGAGCAGGGTTACAGAGCTCCTAAGAAACAGTCCGGGATGCTCTTCTACTGAGGTGTTGTACTGGAGAGACCAGACTGCAGTGTTTTATATTAAACCTAGATTTACACAGCCACTCAGACCACAGCTCCACTTATAGGAAGCTAATTGTTACAGGAAGGGAGCAGATGGAATGGAAAACCTCACGTTGTTGTTGTTCTGTGCTGTGCAGTCAGAACTGCCTAGTAACTGACCCTCCAGCAGATTTTCAGACTGTAATTGTAAGATTTAGAGAGAGAGAGAGAGATCAGCTAGTCCAGTGGACAGAAAGTGATGCTACCAAGCCAAAGGTGGTAGGTAATCCACGGTACTAATCCGCAGCCCTCGGACCTGTCTTTCATTGTTTTTGTTCAGACATTCCTCTAGGTCGTATAGCCCTGGTGTACAAGTTGCCGTACCATGGTCACATGTGGTTGCTGTGAGGCTGACTGAACACTGTGACACTGATGTGTCAAATGCGTTAATGGTTGGCTACCCAATGCGGACTGAGAGTGGGGTGGAGCTTCCTGATTAAAACAAGCTTGGAAGGAGGAATGGCATCCACTTCCATAATAGCTTGCCTCCAGAAACCCTATGAACCTGGAGAGAGGATGATAGACGCCTAAGCGTCATTGAGGACTCTCCTTCACCTGGACTCCATGGCACTTAACAACAACAACAATTGTAAGGAGGAGACACCCATCATTGTCTCTTGGGGACGTGATAGACTCAAATTGCAGACATTGAGCTGGCAGCATCACTCTTAACCACAAGAGCTCTGCGTGAGAAAGACTAGGCTAGTAAGTTTTGTCCTACAGACAACACTTTTCTTTAAATTTTAGGACTGGGAATGTATTCAAGTCTTCTAACCAATATCTGAACAGGAACTCAAATATACTGCCACATATTGTACTCTGACATAACATGAACCAAGGCAATGTGGGGGTGGGGGGGGGAAAGAACAACAAAACCAATGCTTGGCCAGCTAAGATGAAATTATGCGTTTGAAAAAAATAAACCCAAAAATAAAAGATAGCAAAATAATTGCTATTAAAAATGGAAAGCAATCTGGACAAGTTAAAGGCTCAGAACCTATGTCTGGCTTAGTGGTTAAGTCTATGAATGGGTACTTGAAACTCATCGGCTGTGGGTAGTTTTCTACCAGGAAACAGTGAGTAATCCCAGAACGACTGGTGGTCTAATCATATTTTGAGTTTGCCACGCCATTTCACAGCACACACACAGGATAGAAAGGATAAAGCATTTAACAGAGCTTTTCCATATGTCTCAGGAGGTATTACTTTGGGAATTCAAAGCACAGTATTCCCAGAGAGGAAATAATAAGCACAACAGAAATGTATAATACGGTGTGGGTGCTAGCGCTGAGGGCAAGGAATGGAAGGCCTAGAAAAAGACATCAGGCCAATTCTGGACATTTCATCAGTGACTCGAGAGCCCCAATTTTAAGTGAGATTGCTAAATAAAATTTAATTCTGAAGTTTACACGCACGCACACACACACACATTGAAGCCTTTCTTTCAGCAATGATGGGGCAGATAGTCAATTAACATGTTACCGCAAATGACAGTAATACATCGAAAAGAATGTGTTTCTCAGCATAAAAGTGTGTGGCAATGTGTTGTGATTACCCTTGGTGGGTGAAGGGGGTGGATAAAGGAAATGGGAAAGATCTGATGGGGCCCTGAAAAGACAAGGTAATGGTGGGCATAGTCCAATGGTGATTAATTTTATAAAACAGAATGACTGGGAACGATCGTGTGGAACACAATGTAAATGAAGAATAGCATGAAACGCAGTGTATACAAACTTTGTAAGCAAACCAATATAAAAGAACAATTTTTAAAAAAGTGATGATCCTGGGTCCTAAGACATGAACCAGTAACTTGAAAATCCACGTCTACCTTTTGACACAGGCCTCTATCATATCACTGGCCATTAGCTTCAGTCTTTGCTCTAAATGGTGGGCAAACTCTTGCTCTGGCCAGTGCAGATCAAAGACAAACATTTGCAGGGCATCAAGCTTCCAAAAAAGGTCTTCTGATGTTGCTGAGCCATTGCTGGAAGAAAAAGGAAAAAGGCACAGCATGAACGTCTCCTGTTAATGAAGCAAATCATCAATACGTGTGTTCTTCCTTTCATATCAATTGCCGTCAATTACAACAAAAACTCATAAGGACCTAGGAGTTCATTTGCACAGCCTTCTAATTACTCCTTTCCACGTCTTTGTAAGAAATAAGACAAAGCGAGGAGAACAAAAGAGAAGCAAGTACAGTGGCAAGTTTCACAAACAGGGTCGAATGGACAAGGATATTTTTCTAAGAAATAAAATTCTATACATAAGAACAAATGTATCAAATGCTCTTCACTAATGTATGAAGACAGATACATACACATTTCTTTCTAAAAATTCAGAACCGTATGTTTTATGCAAAGTAATCTATACAACTTCAAGTAGTACCCTTTCTCTTCCACTGAAAATACATCTCTGTTCTTATGATGGCTTTTGCTTATCTAGAGAGAAGCAACATAGAATACTGAGCCCTTAAATTTCACAACACCAATAAAACTGAAACAGGTAATGGATACGAAAGTAACAACAGAGGCCAAACAGGGAAGTAGGACTTATTTTATGAAATGCCTTAGCCCTTTATCAGCTCATAATGAAAACTCAACTTATCCCAGGGGAAGACCTGACATCGATATGCCACCCAGAGTGCTCTGACATAGGAACCAAATGATGTACTTGAGGGCCTTACATCTAATTATGGAGTCTAGGTTTGCTCTGAGGTTACCAGGATGACAAAATGACTGTAGGGGACACTATGTTCCCACCACATATGGAAGTAATTTGTATGGGAGTCCAAATAGTATCAGGGCAAAAGGCTAATGCCAGTGCTTCCTACTTGAGTCAAGTACATAATCTAATAAGGAAATCAATATTTTGAAAGTAAAATATTCCTACCTGAAGACATATCGAAACTAGATTGTTAAACAGCATCAATCAACACAAGTGCAATAAAAAGGGTGCCGCAAGGTCAGTGGTCCTCAGCCTCCCAGCAACTGCATAACGTTAAAAATATCCACTGCAGCCCAGTAGGAATCAAGCAAGCTGCTACTTAGCTTCCATGTGGACGGTGATTTCTCCTTTATCCTCCTGTTGTTAATTTCCAATTTTATAGCATTGTGGTCTCAGAAGATGATTTGCACTACTTCGCTGCTTTTGAATTTGTCAAGACTTGCTTTGTGCCCTAACAGATGGGCAATTCTGGAGCATGTACCGTGTGCATTGGAGAAGAATGTAAATTGAGCTTTTGTTGGGCAGAGTATTCTGTAGGTCTATGAGGTCGAGTTGGTTAATTGCATAGTTTAATTCTTCTCCATCTTTGTTTCTTTCTAGTTACCTTTCAATAAGAATGGTGTATTGAAGTCTCCTCCTACCATTAGAGTGGTGTCTATTTTTTTCCCAATGCCATTTTTCAAGGAGATAGAAAAGGCAATTTCCAATTTTATTTGGAAAGGAAAGAGAGACCCTGAATAAGAAAAGCTCTACTGAAAAATGAAAAGCAGGAGGCATCACACTCCCTGATCTCAAAATCTATTACAAAGCCAGAGTAATCAAAACACCCAAGTATTGGTACAGTGACAGGCACATAAAACAACAGATCAGAAGTGAAAACCCAGAAATCAACCTATCTACCTTCGGTCAGCTGATTTTTAACAAGGAGACGAAACCTACTATGTGGAGAAACAGAAGCCTCTTTAACAGATGACATTGACAAAACTGGACATCTCTCTCAAGAAAACAGAAACAAGATCCAAATCTCATACACAAAAACCAACTCAAGGTGGCTCAGAGTCCTAGGAGTAAAACCAGAAACTATAAAGATCATCAGAGGAAAAAAAAAAAGGAATAAATTTAGAATCCCTAGTCTATGGTATGATGAGGTTTTCAAACATAGTAAAAAATACAACCAGGAGAGGATAAAAATAGGTGAGCAGAGGGGTGAGGATAGGGGGGCTGGGTGGAGTTAATCATAGGGTTGCACATTCATTGGGGTGGGGGGGAAGGATCTTGTGTGAAAAACAATGTATTTGAACTTTGTAAATAAATCAGTGTAAGACAAAAAAAACCCCAATAGATGAATCAGGCCTTCTAAAAATCAAATCCTTGTGTGCACCATAAAAACTTCTCCAATAGGATGAAAAGAAAGCCCACCAACTGGGCACAAATATTTGACAGTGATATTTATGGTAAGGGACTCATAACTAAAATTCGTAGACTATTACACCACCTCAACAAGGGAGCTCTGGTGGCTTACTGGCAAGCCGTTGCACCGCCAACCCAAAGGCAAGCAGTTCAAAACCATCAGCTGCTCTGCAGTACAAAAAGGCATAATCTCCCTTGTGATTTACTGCTTCTGAAAACATGTTTCACGCTCATCTGTGAGTTAGTTCCCACTCAGTGGTATGTAATACAACACAGACCTCAATAAGATAAAGAATGAGAACCCAACTACAAATAGGAGAGAAGATCTGAAAAGACCCTTCACCAAAGAGGACATTCAGGTGGCCAATACAAATGAAAACCACTAAAAGTCACTAGCAATTAGAGCAATAAAAATCAAAACAACAACGAGCTATCATCGCACCTCAGCAACCATAGCAGTGTCTAACAGTACAGGAAGTAACAAATACTGGTGAAGATGCCGAGAGCTTAGAACTCTCATGCACTGCTGGAGGTAATGTAAGATAGGTCAGTCATTGCAGAAGGCTGGCTGCGGCTGGCAGAACATAAAAAGAAAATGTATTTATTTATTTATTTATTTATCTTCACTGTAGACAAACGTCCAGTGCCATCAAGCCGATTCTAACTCACAGTGACCTTACAGGTTATGGTGGAGTTGTCCCACCAGGACTCAATGACTGTAACCTTTATGGACAGAGTCAGCCCCAGTTGTCCAGTACAGCAGCTGGAGGGGTCAAACCACCTTTTCAGGTAGCACTTGAGTGCCTAACCACCTGGAACGATCTATGCTTACCACAGACTCACTCAGTCATTGCGGTCAAGCAGAATAGACTCCAGGTTGACACTCCTGAGGTATTGAGAGGCTGTGAAACTCCACGGATTGTCCATCTTCCTCCTGAGGAACAGTTTGTGGGTCCAAACTACCCAACACGCTCTACTTTCAGATTAGCAGTGCTACCCGCTATGGACAGTATAGCCAGACTACCTGAGAGTACTCATGTTGAGTTCACACGGTAAAATTACAGGGATCAAATAAACTCAAATTATCACGACAGCATGGCTGACAGCTTTAAGAACATGCTAATGCATCACTTAGCTAAGTATGTATTTATTAACTAGCTTTTTTAAAAAAAGCCACTTCTATCCCTAATTAAAAGTTAGTTCTGCCCCGCACCGCACCACAACACTGCCACTATACATTCAGACTACTTTGTTTTCCTTCTTGAATTCTGCTAGTAATTTCTCCTGATCTCCTTGTCTAGCCACGATGTATGTCCTCAGAGCTACGATCTCAAGGGACCAACCATAGCAAAGCACAGAACTCTTATACAGAGCTTCACCCACTAGGCCTCCTCTTTGTATTCAGTGCCTCAAATGTGCCATTAAAGAATCAGGCACTGCCATGCTGATGCCATTCTGAAAAAGAATAGCTGGAAAAACCACTATATTTGTTTCTCACTTTTCCTTGCCATACATAAATATATGTTTGTATGCGTGTGTATAGTAATGATATATATAATAATAAAAACTAAAGATAAAACCAACTAATCCAGGCCCATCTGAGAACATCCACAGTGCAGTCTGATAGAGGATCTATGCTTTAAAAAGAGTTGAATATAATTGGCAGAGAAATAAATCTACATTTTATAGTTTTTAGCTGTGGGGAAATGAAAGTTGAATATTTTTGATGAGATATGTATTCTTTCACAACTCAATACACCACAACAATTCTATCGTCCAAACAAAAATCTCAAATAATAAAGACAGAATTCTATTAAAAATGGACTTTTTCATTATTATGGAACAATGAAATACTTAGAGTGAATTTGGACATTTCCTCCTCCATCTTGTGATGTTATAATAAGATTATGACTTATAAATATGCTTAAATGGGAAATTAATTAAGGTAATAAGTATTTATTATAATTAAATAGATGGATGGTCAGCCATAGTTCTGCCCACCCCCCCCAGAGCTGGTACATACTGCAAACAATTTATTCAGAACATCTTTATCTTAAAATTATTTCCAATAAACAAATTTCTCCCAAAAATATTATTAACAAACTGAAGGATTAACATGAGAATAATGGACTAGGATAATAACGGACTATCCATTATTAATAATGGAAACTAGGATAGTTTCCAAAAAAATGCCAGCAGAAAACTTACCTTACTGGCATTTACTTTTAGAGATACCCAGAAAGAAGATTCTATATACACAGAGAGAAGGGCAAGCCTTCTGAAGGTGACTTACATTACATATGAGTAGGCAGGAGTCGATTTCCAAACCTTCTGATACTATGAAGGTAGTATCATGTTTAATGAGTAGTTGTATTCTTAATTTACAATACTCATTCACATTCATTCTCTATTCTCAAATCGGAGCCGACTCCAAGCTGACCACTACTGGGTTTCCAAGGCTGTAAATCTAACGGGAGGAGAGTCCCAATCTTTCCCTTTCAGAGTTGCCAGTGGATTTCATCAGGGAGGCCCTTGGGCTTTGGGTCGGCAGTGCAGCTCCCAAGGACTACATCAGTAGAGCTCCCTCACTTCCTATGTGAGACAGAATACTTCTTGCTAGTCAAACTTTTCCATCAAAACTTCTTCCAACAAATAAATGGCAGTAATTATGCAACTTTTTGGATAATACTGAGCACTTCTAACAAAGAATGTGGATTCCATTGGCAGGTAAAGATAAAGGTGACTCACTTATAACATGCTTTTCATTTGTTCTGAGTGCCGACAATGCAAGTGCTTTATTTAAACTTGTCACAATTCCTGCTCTAAGACATACAACTTTGAAAAGGAGCCTCCAGTGTAAAAGGGCTCAGGGCTCCTATCTCAAATAATGGAATCACAACAACAATAAACACACTTCAAGGGATAATGCTCACAATTGTGTCTTTGATCAAACGAAAGTTCAAGAAATGAAGAATGAGGAAGAAGATTTAAAGGATTTGGGCTGCCAACTTAAGGAAGGTGGTTCTAATCCCTGAGCTGTTCCATGGGGGAAAGATGGGAAATCTTCTCTCATTCGGTTTACAATCTTTGAAAACCTGCTGATAGGTCAGCTGTGAGTTGGTTCCAACTTGACAGCAAACCACCATCACCACCACCTCCAACAACAACAACATGAAGACGTGTAGAGCACTGAGAACTTCTTGTTGCATGCCATCAAGTAGATTTCAACTCCTGTGACTTCATGTGACAAAGGAGAATTGTCCCATGGGGTCTTCTCCACTACAATCTTTACAGAAGTAGATTTTCTCCCTAGGAGCAAGCCCATAGGTTCAAAGTGTTGCCCCTTTGACTGGCAGCTGAGTACCACTGCACTGTCAGGGCTCCTGATCATAATGTAAAAAGGTTTCTTTTACTTTCCAGCTGCTTCCTGAGCATAACACTCCACACACTCTCACAGACCAACACATTTTTCTTGTAAGAGAAAGACTGACACCTGACAGCTCAGTTCTTTCTACAGGTAATAATCATGATTAGAACTTAGAGGGGTATCCTCTAATTACTTCTCAAGTTAATTGTTCTCTTTTTGGGTTATTTCTTCTCTGTTTTCTCAACTCTATGCCTAGTAGAGTGGGACTAGCTTTGATTGTTCATAACTGGTCAGAGAGAAATGATAATGGATCCATTTTTAAATCCTATGGACATTTGGAAGCAGAATCAATGAGAGAAGCAAAGTGTATTCAAACCCAGCTTCTGTCACTTATGTGACATGGTAGCCAAGTTTCTTACCTTTTTAGTGCCTAGTTTCTCTAACTGTAAAATGGGGACAAAAAAATTTTTTTTCCTGAGAGAGCTGTTTCAGTGATCCATTGAGATAAAGATCATGGCACTGTGCCAAGACACAGGAACTTAAAATACACGGGAGCTCTTTTTCTCCTTCTAATTGTTCTTTCTAACTGACTTCATACGAAACTTTGGCAAAGAACGTGATTGATAGTGGATTTGAACTGTGCGCCTTTGGAATTGCAGTGCAGCTTCTTACCACTAGGTCACCAGCGCAATAATAATACTATTGTTGACCAGAAGTGTTAATTATAGTTTATTGAGCACTTAGGATGTGCCAGGGCACTTTCCATACACTATATATGTTAGTCTTCTCAAAGAAATGTTTAAAATTAGGCATTATGACCACTGTAGAGTAGAGAGAAACTGAGAAGAAAAAGGGTTGACAGTAATTTAGTTTCTGGATTCTGGTCTGATGAACTCAAAGATCAAACGCTTTCCACTTAAGTGATGGCTAGCTACTGAATCTGTAACAGGCTGGGCCATCACCATGTGCAATTACTAAATATTGTTTTTAATAATAAAGATTGTATTTTTAACTTTTCTCCCTTTATTGTGTACTGTTGAGTCAGATCCGACTGGTACAGGAGGAGATTGCTCCTCCTTCTCCAGAGGAGAATCTGGTGGATTTGAACAGTATGCCTTCGGGATTGCAGCACAGCTTCTTGCCACTAGGCCATCAGAGCTCCCTAAAGATTGTTATTTTTAAAACAAGTTATACTATCTGAGTTGTATGAGGGACTGAAGAAGAACTTCTTGGTGCTGTAAAATAAACAACAACTCCTTCTTTGCGAGCTGGGATAACGTTTCTTTAAAGCTACAACTATGATAGACACAGGAAAATATGATATAACTGCAAAAGTTCTTAAAATGGTTTTCTACATGTGCAAGATGAGACACATGGAAGCAACAACGATAGAAGAGCCTAACATCGTGGAAATCTTGTTCACATATTGAGTGTAGCTAAGTATGGTGAACTCTGGCTATACTACTTATGGAAAAGGCTAAAACCTGGGCCACAAAATGACCTCTGTCCCACAAATTACATACGAAACACATCAGAACATTGTTTTGCTTTCCTCTACAGATCGCCATCATTTATCATCGATATGCCAAGCTTAGCTTAATAGCTTGCAAGCCTCAAACAAATAAAACTCAAACATAGTATTCCTCTGAGGATAAAGGCCATGCATTCTAGACACATGTGCACAGAACACAGCCCAGGCCATGCACTAGCTAACACACCACCAGGAAATAAGTGAGGGATACACACGTGGACTCATATAAAGAAGCCATCCATGTAGGAGTAGAAAAGTTAGGAATCTGTGGAAGATTAAGAGGCAGACTTGGAACTTTTGGAAGAGCTACATTGGGAAGACTGTTGGCGATATTCCTGCAAAGAAACAAACAACGTGGGAAGGGACCACTGTAAGCAATAACTGAAGATGGCCACGTTCAAGGCCATGTGTAAAGTCAGGATGGAAGAGGCAGGTGCTCCATGGACACTAGGAAGATACCTACTTGACCGGCTGCCACGTCTCTTGTTCAAAACCTCTGTGAATGGACTGGGCGATGGAAGACTCCATGAGATCGACGTAGCGGACAACCAAGGGCACAAAGATCTCTTGCAAGTGTTTGTGGAATTTTCCATTACACAAAAGTGCTGAAAGAGCCAAGCAGAAAGGGTATTTGTCAGAGGGGTAAATAGACGTTTCAGAAAATATGGGTGACAGAACAGTTCCTGAAAGCTTCCGACACACAAACCAAGAGATCTCAACTCAGGGTGACCCCAAGTACGCAGAGTAGGATGGGGCTCCCTAAGTTTCCCAAGGCTGTGGGCCAAACACTTCTGAGGCATCTCTAGCCTCATATTGATGGACTTTTGGCCAGTGGTTGAGCCACTCAGGGCCCACTCTGACACAGAAGAATGGACAAGATACAGAGTAAGATGGACCATGCTTCCCATACTGGACCTTATCATGCTGTAGAAAATTTATCAAAAAGCATATATAACTGCTATCTCTACATCATGGGAGGAAGATGGGCTATCTTTTCCTGTGTGATTTGCGGTCTTAGAAACCCAAAAGAGAGTCAACTATGAGTTCGTTCTGACTTGAAGGCAAGGAGTGAGTTATCATTATATGGCTGCCAGAAGCACTTGAAGTTATTATCGTTGTCAGGTGTCATGGAGTTGAGTGTGACTCATAGCAATCCTATGAACAACAGACCTAAATCTTGCTGTCCCCTGTGCCATTCTCAATGACACACTCGAGTCCACTGCTGCAGTCACTGTGTCAATCCTTCTCTTTGGGGATCTATCTTCTCCTGCTGACCCTCCACCTTTCCAAGCATGATGTTCCTTTCAAAGTAATAGCCTCTCCTAGTAACATGATATTTTATCATCCAAGGAGCATTCTGACCACACATTTTTCCATGAGATAGCCAGTACTCTTCTCTAACACCACAACCCAAAGGCATCAATTCTAGTAAGTTATCTTGATGGCGAGGTCTAACACATAAGGAACATGGCTGGAAATACAAGGGAGCTTCTGGAGCCCTTGAACATTTATATGCTTATGACTACATTAATTGCAGAACCTCTATGTAAGATGTCCTGGTGGTGTAATGTTTAAGTTCCTGGCTGTTAATGAAAAAGTTGGTGGTTCGAACCCATTCAGTGACTTAATAATATAAAGATCTGGCAATCTACTTCCATAAACATGTCCACCAAGAAAACTCTCAGGGATTCTACCTATTTTGTTACGAGGAGTCTAAATGAGTTGAAATCAACTAGACAGAACTCAACAACAATAATCTCTGTGCTAGGCTACATATCACAGAAGTGCTTAAACTATTCAACTCCAAGAGCTGATCTTGAATGGCCTAGTGGTAAGAAGCTTTACTGCAATCCCCAAAGCATGTGGTTTGAAGCCACCAGCTACTCCACGGGAGAAGGATGGAAATCTCTTCATATGCAATTTAGTGCCTCTGAAAACCCACTGGAGGGTCAGTTCCAACTAGACGGCATACAATAAGCAGGCTGATTACTCCCAAGTATTTTCTTTCTTTCTTTCTCTCTCTCTCTCTCTCTGCTAAATGCTTTCTTGCACTTCTGCTTACTACACACGCTTTACTCTCTGATGGTGCCCTAGTCTAGAAGTTGTGCTGCTAATCCAAAGATCGTGCTCTCAGACAGTGAATCCTCTAGCAAGAAATGGGAAAAAGATGGGCTATCTCTTCTTGTGGGATTTACAGCTGTAGAAACACAGTGGAAGGCCAGCTATGAGCTATGTACAGCCTCAGAAACCCAGAGAAGGGTCCATTCCAAGTCAACAGCACAATTTACTTGTTAGCATCTAACAACAACAACATGTGAATATTCCATACATATTCTTTTCTCCCGGGGGAAAACATCTAGAAGCTGTGTGTCAGAAAACTTGGACAAATTGATGCTTGGCACCAGAGAATACATATAAAGATATGTGTGACATAGTATCTTTTTTAAATACTTTTGGAATTTTATTAAATGATTTTGGAATTTGTCGAAGATTGGAAAACCCTAACTCTAACTCAATACAATATTGATTTCTTTCATCTTAAATGGGTTGACTTCTGTAGTCAAATAATCTTATATCTTAAGAGATTTCCTATTTTTAAGTAGGAATGATGATGATATTTAAAGAGAAATGATTTATTTAGGAGATTAATGTCATCTTAATGATGTTTATATTTGCACACAGAAAAGAGCTTTATTTTCCCTGGAGATTTGATCATTGAGGTAGATGGTACTAACTATACAGGTCAGAAGATAATTCTGTTCCTTTCTCCAAATGCCGTCTAAACAAGGATGCTAAGCATGAAGGAGGAAATATCCATGCTTAAATAATTTACATATCTGTCATGTTGTTGGGTCCTATGGAGTCAACTATGAGTTATAACAATCTTATGAACAACATAGCAGATCTTAGTTATATCCTGTGCTAGTCCCACAATCTCAGCCATGCTTAAGCCCATGGCTTCTGTCACTGTGCCAATCCATACCACTGAGGGTCTTCCTCTATTAGGGCTGCTAACCCCTCTGTTTTGCCATCACTAGCATTCTGGAGAGCTAATCACTGTGCCAAGTATTTGAAGTGCCTTCTTTTAAACAATCACCACAATAACCTTATGAGGAAAGAATGATTATTTTTCCAGCTTTACCAATAAGGAACTAGAAACACAGAGAACTCAAGGCTCTTGACATATTATTTATCAGTAACTCATCAGAAGCTGGATCTGATACGATGCAGCCTGATACCAGAGAGCTGTTGTTCGTAACATAATCATCCTTTACTCAGAACACTGAAACTCACTGCTGTCAGGTTGTAGGTGGCCCATAGCTGATTCTCCATCGAGTTTCTGAGGATATAAATTATAAAGGAGAGAAGTTTCCACAGTCTTTCAGAGAGTCAGTGGTAGATTCAAACCACCTAAAAGTGTGTCCTTTGGGTTAATAGTGAAATTCCCCACTGACTATACTTCTAGAGCCCATAATCCTTTTAGTTTCATAAAAAATGTCTACCTATCCTCCCTTTTGCCCACTCATCTATCTTTCTGTCCATCCATCCATCCATCCATCCATCCATCCATCCATCCAACCATCCAATCATCCATCCATCCATCCATCCATCCATCCATCCATCCATCCATCCATCCATCCAACCACGCACCCAAATTTTAGCACGTTTTAAGAACCAGGAGCATAGGCTAAGGCTTACAAACCATAAACTAGCAGGTTGTTCGGCTAATAATACATTTTGACATGACAATTTTACCACATCTTTGACAAATCATATAGTTTCAGGGTTAGACTGTTCATAAACTCTGTTACAATGTGGAAAAAGAAAGAGTTGCATAAAACACAAAATTAAAAAAATAAGTTAACACTGAATTAATCAATGTACTTCTAAGGCAATCTTTATTGAAGCCCGGGCAGTTTTATATTGCTGACTTGTGAGTCCTAGTCACCCTACAGAGAGTGTCAGTGAAGGAGAGGAAGATACTCAATAGGACGGATTAACGCAATAACTGGAACAGTGGGCTTCACCACGGAAGAGATGGGACAGGATTTCCCTCTGCTGCTGGAGCCAAGTCAACGGCACCTAACAGCATGCGGATATGTGCTGTTAAGTTCTGCCATTATTTTAACCAGACCAAGACTGAGTAAGGAGAAAACAGAGCATCCCTTCTTTCTTCCTGAGGAACTGCCACACATTTGGAATTAGGGACAGTCTGCTCATGGTTCAGCAGAGCATTCCTTCATACTTTGACAATGCAAGCACACATTTACTTTACAAAGTTCTAGAAAACTGGCTGGCTGATGGTCTGTGGTTTTAGAAATAGGAAAGGAGAAAAAGGAAGGAGAGAGAAATCTAAAGAAAGAGGCAGCAAAGTACAAAGAGGAGAAATTACGGGGAATGGAGAGAGAGAGCGCGAGAGAGAGCGAGAGAGAGCAGGAAAAGGCAAGACAATGGCATTGAGTGATCCCCTGCACTTGTCTATGTAAATGTATGCTCCTTTTCTCAGTTGCCCATATGCCAGTTTGCATTCCACTCCTATCAGACACTGTCAAAAAGCCTTCTTAATATGTAGCCCTAGGCGCTGAATGCATTCTTCTATCATCTCCATATGGTTTAATAAGATAGGTTATGATTTGGGGTGACCACCTGTCTAAATGAAGCCTGTACAAGGCATTCATTCCAACAGCTCGGTGGAAGAGGCACACTTACAATGCAGCTTCCTGCAAGAAAACTGATGATCTCATATCTGAGTTGTGCTCGGAAGGAGTATCAAAAATGCTTAGAAAAACAAGAGTCGAGGACTAGCACTTTCTTGATAGGATTAATTTCCTCCTTAAGATTTCAAACAGGCATTTGTAAAAAAATAATTAAGCATCAATGATATCTAGTCCTGTAGTATATTTAGATGTTGTTTTTGCTAGACACTATCAAGTTGGTTATGATTCATGGCAAACCTCTGGACAAAAGATTGACAAACTCATCCTTTCCTACACCACCATCACAATCTTTTCCATGCTTGAGACCATGATTGCAGTCACTACATAAGTCCATTTTATTCAGGGTCTTTTTCTTTTTCCTTGATTCTTGGTGGTAAGGAATTGCACCACCAATGCAAATGTATGTGGTTCGAATGAATCAGATGCTCTGCAAAAGCAGTGTTATCTCCTCCTGTGTGATTTACCGCCTCTGAAAACCTCTCCCTGGAGGATCAGCTATGGGTCTGTTCTAACCAGATGCTACCAACAAAAACGACATACTTTTTCAGGTCTGATGTGTTTTTAAAAGGCATTTAGAAGCAGGGAAAAAAACCATCAAAAGGCTTAAATAAAGGCTTAAATTAGGAATCCAGATGAGCCCAATTATTTTGAACATCCCAATAATTAATAAATGAGTGTTGGATTATTTACACAACAAAAAGTCTTTACATTTCTAAAAGTACTTGAGATAGGCCCTTAGTAGTAAGATTTCAACAGCAAATTTAGCCTATGATTCAATTAATAACAATTACAGATAAGTCACAGAGCAAAATGAAGAACAAATAGATAAAAGAATTCATGTGTTGCTTCTAGGGTTAAAATAATGCTGCTGCCTCCTGAACCAATAT